TGTAACATTGCCTGAAGACATTCCCCAAAGTAAACATCTCCCCAGCCAAAGCCTACGAGCTGAGAGAATTAGGTCCTCTATCTCCAAGCGTTCCATTCTCGCCCTGGTGGTCAAAAATAGTTTGGGTTTGCAGGCCAAAGGACAGGAAGAAGTTGCAGAGCAGAAGAATCCCAAGGCCTCTTTTTGTCCGGAAGAATGGCTGGCTTGGGCCAGTCGGAGTGGGGCCCGGCAGGTTGCGAAAATCAACGATCACAAAGAACAGGGCTGAAAGAACAATAGTGTTCATCCGATTTCAACATATTCTAAACCGATTGTGGAGATGTGTCCGTGATTTGGTGAAAGTGACCGCGAAGCCCCTCACAGTGCAGAGCAAATTTGGACGGTTCAAAATACTCAGCGACAGTAGTGGAGCCCACGAAGAGCCCAAAGCTAATAACGATGGCCGATGGCCTCCAACCCAAGAGCGATGGCCTCCTACCGACTAGCCCGGACAGATAAAGCAACCAAGTGCGACTAGAAACTATTTTCCTCAGAGGTCCTATAGGGGTCCAACATTGCTCCCATGTCAAGGGCAATGGCTGTACATGAAAAATCACTGATCGATCGCACTTCCTGCGCAAAAGCCGAGGTGATTCGGTGACTCTAGTAGTGTAACCCATTGAGAACAATCTGTGTAACCCATTAGACTTCGTGCCAGGATCTTGCATACCAACAGCTCCGAGAGATGCAGCCACAGTCCGATTCAGAAACGATTTCCTGCTGAAAATGAAACGCAGATAAGAGTGCTTACACAGCAGACCTGGGACAAGAAATAGGCGTCATTTGTGCGGTGTTCAGTTTTAGTGCAGGTCTCGAGAAAGCAGAAGCTCAAATCGAAGCGCGCAGCGGCCCGAGCCAAGATCTTCGGAAAGTAGAGGAACACGGGGAGGCACGTGACTGACCAACGGGCCCTGCTGCAAGGCTTGGCCCGGCTTGCCAAGCAAAGATTGATGTCTTTTGGAGCTGCGAAGTATGGAAACAAATTTGTCCCCCGTTTTTTCTGACGGGCTCAAAAGCTACCGTCGTCTTCCCAAGAACGAAGCGGGGAAAAAGACTTGTCGTTGTAGTTGATGGTTGCCTATTCAAAGCTCACGTTGAAGATTTCTTGTCACCAGCAGGTTTAATTAGAGGTGGTGACCACCAGCTATTGAAATCAAGTGCCAGTGCAGTCCGATAGATACCACCAATCAGTGTACAAGAGAGGATTGTCTAGAAAACAGACTCCTCAATGGCACCATGCAAGCTGAATTAAGGAGTACAGCTATTTGAGTTACTTGAGTTTACGTGTAAACTTCAATCTCAAGAGAAGACATTCTCTTGTTCAATTGAACTCTCAAGAACAATAACTCTCGTTTTGTTTGAATCCTCCAGCGGTTGTTGTAAAGAATTCCTCGTTCAAAAAACTCTAGTGCCATTGGGATCCACCCCACAGTCGCTGCTGAGCAGGAGATCACGGATGATCATGGTGCCTGGAACCTGCGGAGACCTCGCTGAAGAGGTCCTGTGCAACCGGTGAATATGCTTATATTGCAACTAGAGTCCTTTTTGGTGGTAATCATTCCACCTGGTAAACAAGTCAAAACACCAGTTTAAAGAAGAATACGTTCATTGGTGCCCGTAGCCGAAGCTGCGGATGTGTGAACAGATCCATCAACGTGTACCGCGCAAAAATCCGGAAAAGTGCCGCATGGATGTGTGCGTCACAAACCGAAGAACGTCGACATTCTTCACATCTTTGAAAGTTCGGAGAGCCCGAAATCAAGTCCGAGATCCAAGGGACTCTCTAGTGAAAATAGAAAGGGCAACCCCTGCTATTTTTCACTAGACATCATGTCTTTCCCTTATGTTTGAAGCTTTGGCCACAGAATGAGGCCGACATGGGTGTGTATTGGAATAGGGAGACCTCCAAAGACCCCTGAGAAGATCAAAAACAAACTAAACCCGTGAGCTCTTCCTAGGTTGGAGGCCATCGCTACTAGAAACAAAGAACAAAGAAAAGGAAAGATGTTTAATATAGTTTGCAAGTATAGATGGCGTCGTATGGCCTTAGTTACTTGCGGTCGTATTGGGTGATTTTATCGCCTTATCACGCCGCTCATTATCAATGGGATTGGCACGAGCGGTTTGTCCAATACAACCCACATTTGGACGATCGATTCCTGCACGGCGTAGTAAAAGAGAACTAGTAGTTATATACATATCTTGTTGTATAGAGAGAACTCTTATTTGTTGTTGAGATTTGTTGAGTGTCGTTTCTATAGTAGGTCTTTAGATCATGGCGGAAGCAACGATTCGCTTCTTTGATTAATTGATTCTGACAGCAGCTTCCTTGCTTTTAAGGGAGGGGTGTAGGCCGTTAGTTAGCTTAGGAGTAGCTAAGTGAGGAAAGGATGTAAGCTACTAAACTTAAGTAGCTATTATGAATGCAGGGAAGCTCAGGCAGGGAAGCTCCCCACTATTCACTTGGTTCCTGAGCAATGGCCTCCAACCTACCTGTGATGGCCTCCAACGATGGCCTTCAACCTACTAGCGATGGCCTCCAACCGAGTAGTTTTGTGTCCACCAGAGGTGGCTTTATTCTAGAAATCAAGAAACTTGAAAAAAAAACTTTAAAAAAGCAAACCAAAAAAGCACCAGCAAAACAAAGAGCAACCAAGAAAGCAAAAAAGAGCAATAAAAAAGCAACCAAAAAAGCACAAGCAATACACAGAGGGTAGTTTGGAGTGGCCGGGTAGGGGTAGTACTGCACAAGGGCTTTTCTGGTGCCGGGTCAAGTGTCGCACTTTTGTCGTTTTTTTCTGGTGCCGGGTCAAATGTCGCACTTTTGGTCGCTTTTTTTTCCGGCGCCGGGTCAGGAGTCGCACTTTTGGTCGCTTTTCTTCCCATGTTTTTCCGCGGCCGGGTAAAAAGTCGCACTTTTGGGTCGTTTTTTTGGCTCTTTTTTCGCTTTATGTGTGCTTTTTTTGCAAAAACAAAGTGAAAAAAACGATCAAAAGTGCGACTTTGGAAAAAAATGCGACCAAAAGTGCGCCAGAAAGTGGACCCTTCCAAAAAGGCGCGCCAGAAAGTCCGGCTGAGTGGTTCCATTTTTGCTTGCAATTTTGTTTGTTTTCTTTGCTTTTATGATTGCTTTTGTTTTTCTGGTTGCATTTTGGGGTTGCTTGTTTTTTCTATGTTTTTGCTTTTGTGATTCTGCTTTTGTTTTTCTGGTTGCATTTTTGATTGCTTTTTTTGTTTTTTTTCAAGATGCTAAACTTCTAGAATAAAGGGGTCTGGCAGACACAAGAGTAGTTATCAAAACTGGCAGGTTTCGGTCATCGCTTTGGCAGCCTGGCCTGGGTGAGCTGAGAGCAAGTTCTGAAAATACAACTCCCACGTCCGAGCTTTGGACATTGACAGGTGACGTTGACACAATGTTAGAAGTTGACACCATTTCTATGATTGAAGTATTACAGAGTAATCGTTTGTAACATGACCGCAACGCGGGTATACGGCGCCAGCGTTCTTGACATGGCAAGACAAGGGCTTCACAGCACAGCCAACAGCCAGTCCTTTTCTAATCATCTTTAAATATTCGCGGGTTGCGGGCGAGCCTGCGTTTCGTGATCCGCTCTTGTGTTTGTTTGCCACTTTAAAGGCTTACAGTACCTCAACGGACGGCCTAAATGTTGACCTGCAGTATTGGCTCGAACACGACAACTGCGCTACACGCGACTTGCCGTTTGCCTGTGAATTCCAAAGATGGGACTCGACCGGTTTGCCTTCATCCTTTTCTTGCTCGTGCCTGCTTGGAGCATGCGCCAGGCGTGAGGGATGGTTGTTTGGGTCGCGCCACCTATACATGCGGAATAGGAAACCAATGAAGCAACAAAATGAAAAACACGTTGTATAAGGAATAAAAATCGCATGAGAAAACAACATGATTGAAGAAAAAGAAAAGTAATAGGTTTAACAAAAGGCTGTAAAGTTATTATGTTTGCTTACTTAGTTCTCACATTGAGAATCTCAGTCACATTGGAACAACGGAACAGGTGTGTGAATTGCACATGGTGGTAAACGACGCGGATGTTGATGGATGTGTGTCGTGACCACTGCATTGCCACCCAACTAATAGCTTCTTGTTACTAGTAGCGGTGGCCCCCAACCTAATAGCGATGGCCTTCACCTAGTAGCGTCCTTGCTGAACACTTATACCAAATCTGTTGTTGTTCAATTCGGAAAGAAGTCAGCACGCCTGAGCACTGCACACGCTCGCTTCACAGTCAGCACCCACTCGCTACCGTCCCTTACTTGCCCAGGCCAGCAATGGTACAGCTTGCGACTCCTTTCTCCCTTTTGGGCGAAAGTGTTGCGAAGCCAAGTGCGATGGGAAACGGGGCGACTACGACCGCGGCTCGAACGTGGAGGATCTCGAGTTGTATGAGTGCATTCCGACATACGGAGCCTTCAAGAAGCCCAAAAGGACCTACGGAGTCTACGAGCCTTGGGTATGGTATCTGTGTTTTCTTTGTTCTTTTTTTTGGCCCGGCGGAGGGGTAGGCCGGTACGCAGGGATAGAGGTAGCTAGGGCAGCTAGCTGAAGAGGTAGCTATTAGGTACAGGACGCTCCTACCAAGGACGCAGGATAGCTCACGCTTCTTCAAGGAAGCGTCCCCCCCGCCTGAGGGCACATTGTAGTGCACATGAATATCTCAGACTGTGTAAAAGTCATGTTTGACACTCTTAAGGCGTGCTTGTTAGGCACTCTTAACGCAAGCGATGAAGCCTTCACCAGCGGTAAAAACGTAACACTTTGCCAATTGGCTGCCTCTCTGTGGAAGAAAAGCACGAGTGTCTCCAAACACAGACGTCCAACATAAATGGTCAGGCAGGAAGCCTCCAAAACGAGCTCACACATCATGCAGCAGTAAAGATTGTACTGTCCTAACGCAAATTCCAATGGTACAGCCAGGCACACCTGCCCCGAACGTTGCAACCTCACAATTCCCTGCCGCGACGCGATGATAAGACTTCCACACCTTCGCGTGTATACATACGCATAAAAAGACTAGTCGGACTAGTTTGCCAGATTTGGACCACCACGCATTTGGAGGCCAATGCAATTAGAACCGGAATGAAATGGAATCCATTGCTACTAGCTTGAGGTCATCGCTCTGAGGTTGGAAGCCATTGCTATTAGGTCGGAGGCCATCGCAATTAGAATCCCCAAGTCAAATCTTTGGAGGCCATCACTGGAGGCGTATTTGCCTTCATCTTCCAACATCCCAAATCTCAACAGCTCAATCTCAAAGGCCCGGCGACGTTTCTGTTTGGTTCGACGTTTCTCGCCATGTTTGAGGTAAGAGGCCATCGCTCTTAGGTTGGAACGAGTTAGCTTTGGGATGCTCATGAGGTGGAAGAACTCCTGATGTGTTTCCTTATGTTTCTCATGAGGTGATGGTACAAGTCTGGTCCCTGGTGAAACATCAAACATTTATCATTTCTCTATGCAAGCCTCAGAGCCTTGCCACAAATCCGGCATTGGCTTCCAACATCCATGCAAGGTTGATCAAAACTTCGAGGCTTGCATAGGCGTGTTCAAACAGACTTGTAACACTACTAGCGATGGCCTCCAACCCTCGAGTCCATTTTTTGGTACATCGCTGGAGGCGCATCTGTCTTCTTTCCATCCTTCGCTCATGACCTGAGGAAGCGGACGACACACCCATCACCTCTAAGGAGATGAATGACTACATCACCGCTTATCGTCATCACAGGACCGAGCGAATCCCGTCGCAGTCGTCTTCTTTCGGACGCGTGGCCTATTTGGGGCGGGGACGAAGGTTGACCCAACTGGGGCCGTGGATCGATCTCACAAGTCTTCACGCTTCACGACTCGGTCGCGTGCCGACTTGGCCAGGAGCCCGTTCGTCGCGTCCGATCGCTCCGTTCGTAGCGAAGGATTACTAGCTTCTTGCTCCTAGCAGGAAGGCCAGGAGGCTCTAGTAGCTTCTTGTTACTAGTAGGGATGCCAG